CTCCCCCGAGGGACAAACTCCTGCCAGCAAAGCCCACCCTGCGGGGAGGGGTCCTGCCCACGCCCTGAGGGGTACAGGATCGCTCCAGGCTTGGGGCAGAAGGGCTGCGCACACCAAGAGTGGGATGAGGGAGCAAAACCTGGGGGCTGGGGGAGCAGGGAAAGAAGCATTTTCTCTTTTCAAACAGGAATCCCCAACGCCATCCCCTTCCCTTTGCATAGAGCAGCTTGCAGGCGAGCGCGTCCTTCAGTCACCCAGGGGACACCGAGAGCAGCAGCTGTGACCCCGGGGGGGGACAGGAGCAAGGCTAGGGGACACGGCCCTGCGGCTCCCATCCTCCTCCAGCAGCCCCGGGGCTTGCACAAGGATGGAAGAAAAAGAAACAATCAACAACCCCAAAGCCTCCCCATCGCTCTGCCCCCGGGTGCAACAAGCCATCCTGACGTTTAGAAAAAGGAATGAAATAGGAAAAAGAATGGGGAGAGGGGAGGGAAAAAAAAAAAAAAAAAAAAAAAAGGCTGAGATGGAGGGAAAGATCCCCTGGTCAGCGGAGAGGAAGCCGGGAAGCGCCGCGGGGATGCTTGTCTGTTCACCGCCCGGTCCTGCGGGATCTAACTATCCTCGCCGTTCTCGCCCGGCCCCTTGATCAGCCGCTTCTGTCCCCGTTTCCCCACGGGCCCCTTGGGCTTGGCGAAGGCTTGCTTGAAGGCATGCTGCTTGGGGTGCACCTCCTCGTAGAGGAACTCTGCCGTCAGCTCAGCTCCATCGTCGATCTCGATCTGTGCCCAGGAGCGGCAAGGGGGTGTTAGCGGGGTCTCGACACCCACCTGTGGAGCACCCAACTGCTCCCTGAGCCCACCAGCCTGCCCGGACCAAGGCTGTGGCACATTCCCTTGCAGATGCCCAGCATGGTTTGCTGCTCCATCATCTCTGGGCAGGCTCACACTTACCTTCTTGGCTATCTCCAGGCAAAACTCCTGCTCCACAGTGTCCAGTAACCGGCTCTTGCAGCTGGAGTAGAGCATGCGCTCCTTGATGCTGCACTTGTACCCGGGCATGGAGTAGATGAAGACTGCAGGAAGAGAGCGGGGCTTGCGGCACTGCCCAGGGAGCACCAGGCAGCTGCATGCCAGCCCAGTCATGGCTTTTTCAGCCCCAAGTGTCCCAGTCTACCCAGTGACAGAAGGCAAGCCATCCCATCCATTGCCCCTTCCCAAACCTCTCCTGGTACACCTGCAACACAATGGCCACCAAACTGCCACACCAATCCTCCGCGGCAGCACCCAGAGCGCCCTACAAGGCAGCTTCTTTCGGCACCAAAGGGCTTGCCAGCACCCACCACGGGAGGATGGCGCGTGGGAACCGACACAAGGTACCATGCCACACCATCCCCATCCCCGCACG